CTATAGATTACTGACCGGCAGAAGGAGTGTTGAGAGCGAATCGGGTTTTGGACGCATTCGCCGCCATTTTGGCAGTGGTTGTGACGACAGTTGGCGTCCGCGGCGTCTGAGAGGGCGAGACAACAATTAGCGACGCAATTATTGGACAAAACTTACGATTTATTAGAGAATTGTTTTTGAATCCAAACGAAGAGTGAATCAAATTAAAGGCGAGAATCGCGAGAAAGACTCTCATTGTTGTAGTGATGAAGTGATGAACACTTGTTGAGCTCTCGAGACGACAATTGAAACACAATTTCACGAAAAATACGCAAAAATTTGAGTCATTTTTACACAAAATTCAACCAATTTTCCGATAATTAGTCGAAAAATGTCTGCTTTTCGCGACTTTCGACTCTTTTCGACCGAAATGTCGACAAAACGCGAATTCGAACTCAAATTTCAAACAAAAAGCCAACGAATGGGCGACAGAGCAGTGGATGGAAGAGCGAGACTTTTTCTCACACAAAACTTTCCTCCAATCAGAAGTGTGCGAAAGGAGGGCGGAGTGCACGCGGAATGCCAACAGCGCTGTGAAGCCCTCGAGACAACAATGCTCTGCGACAACATCTGTCGCAACGCTTTTCTCACACATTATTGAGAGCACGAGAGAAGAGACGAGAGTTTGCAATGAGTTTTTATTCACAACTAATTTCCCACAAAAGCAAATGATTAGTCGAGTCTTCCCTTCCCTCCGTCGGGATTCCCGTTCCCATTCCCGGTCCCGTCCGGTACACCTCCACGCCGTCGCCGCCGCTGATGACCAGTCGTCGCGCGCACAGCGTCTCCATTTGGGTGAGGAAGCGCACGTGACCCGTGTGGCCGTTCGGCACTGCAAGGGATTAGGATTAGCAATGGGGGATTAATTGGGATTAAATTAATACCGATTTCCAATTGATTGGATTTCGAGTCCAAAACGCAGATAATTCCGGCCGAAGTCCCGATCCACACCTTGTCCTATAGATTGGGGGATTAACGCGGATTAGCGATTAGGGATTAACGGATTAGAGATTACTTTGACGGCCAGAAGGGATGAGATCTTGAGACACGCGCTTTTGTGCTGCCGAATGATGTCTTCGCACGAGACGAGCGCTAAATAGGGTTTAATTGTAATTAAAATATTGCAATAATTG